TCCAAAATAGCCTATTAAACAACAACTGATTTAAATAAAATTTTATTTAAAAAAATCATTGATTTTTATCCACCGTGGTTATCCCTGACTAACTATTCCAAAATAAGAATGCCCATACATTAAATTATTTGTGATAGTGCCAAGTATAGAAAAGCCCAGGTGTTTTGTTAAGGCAGAACTAAGTACTATGGGATATAAATGAACTGATCTTGCAAGATCTTGCACCCACACTCGCAGATGTAAGAGATCATTTGACAGTGTACTCACAGCAGTGACTAAGTCAATGTAGAAAGGACCATTATTACAGTATCCACACAGTAATAGTAATCCATCCCCTATTCCCAACTTCTAGTAAACTAAATGTACCTAGTTCTTTTTTTTTAAGCCTGTTATAGTCTTGACCTTCACAACCCCTCCTCCTCCCCCACCCCACCCCAGCAAAAAGTTTCCTAGACTGACTGTGTGTTGTGTGAAGAAATATTTCCTTTTGTCTGTTTTACACCTAAGCCTATTAATTCCATTTGGTGACTTCTTGATCTAGTGTTATGAGGAGTCAACAACACTTCCTTATCTACTTTCTCCACACCACAAATGCTTTTAGGGACCTCAATCACATCCCCCCTTAGCCCTCTCTTTTCCAAGATGAAATGTCCCAGTCTTATTAATCTCTCCTCATACAGAAACCATTCCATTCCCCTAATCAATCCTGTTACCCTTTTTGGAATCTTTTCCAATGCCAATATATCTCTTTTGAGATGAGGCGACTTCAGCTGCATGCAGTGGTCAAGATGTGGACATATCATGGATTTTCTATAGAAGGAAAATAGAGTATCTTGTTTCCTGTCCCTTTCTTAATGATTCCCAACATTCTGTTTGTTCGACTGTTGCTGCATGTTTTTCAGAGAAATATCCACAACAACTCCAAGATAGCTTTTACCACTCAAAAAAGAGAACTTAAGCCCTATCGTTTTAAATGTATAGTTGAAGTTATGTTGTCCAACATGCATTACTTTGCATTTGTCAACATTGAATTTCATTTGCCATTTTGTTGCCCTGTCTCCCAGTTTTGGTTGATTCCTTTGTAGTTCTTCACTGTCTTGAGTAGTTTGGTATCATCTGCAAATTTTGTCCTCTCACTGTTTCCCCCTTTTTCCAGATCATTTGTGAAAATGTTGACTAGTACTCATCCCAGAACAGATCCGTGGCACACCACTACTTGCCTCTCTCCATTCTGAAAATTGACCATTTATTCCTATTTTAACTAGTTATCAATCCATGAGAGGGCCCTCTCTCTTATCCCATGACAGATTACTTGGGACTCTGCCAATGATTTTCTGAAAACCCAAATGCACTACAGGCTGCACCTCCCTTATCCAGCACCCTCAGGACCAGACCAGTCCCAAATGAGAAGATTTGCCGGAATAGGGGAGGTCCCTTCTCCTCATGGCCCACGCAGCTCTGCTGCCACCCTGACCCTGACCAGAGCTCCACAACCACCGCTGGGGTCACAGCTCCCTGGCCATGACTGGAACTCCATCGCGGCTGGGACTAGAACTCCCTACCGTGCCATGTCCCCCCAACCCCTGCCACTGAGCTCCTGGCTAAGTCGCTGTTCCCCCCTACCGTGCTTTTGCCCTGCCACCAGACTTCCCTGTTCCTGGACTCTGTGGTCCAGGAATATCCAGACCACGGATGCTGCCAGACCAGAGTGTCCTGGTTAAGGGAGGTACAAGCTGCATATCCACTGGATCCCCCTTGTTCATAAGCCTGTTGACCCCCCTCAAAAAATTCTAGTAGACTGGTAAAGCATGACTTCCCTTTACAAAAACATGTTGATTCTTCACCAACAAATTATAGACTAATATATGTCTGACAATTCTGTTCTTTACTATAGTTTCAACCAGTTGCTGGGATCATCTCTGGAGCCCTTTTTAAAAATTGGCACCGTATTAGTTATCCTCCAGTCATTTGGTACAGAAGCTGATCTAAACGATAGGTTACAAACCAGTGACAACAGTTCTGCAGTTTCACATCTGAGTTCCTTCACAACCATCTGCACCTGGTGACTTATTACTGTTTAGTCTATTGATTTGTGCCAAAGCCTTTTACTTTAGCATTTGACTTTAACATTACAGCCCTTTAGTGCGATTGCATATTTCCACCGCTTGACTGTGGAGTTCTCCAGTGGGTAAAATACTTCCTTCAAATGCCAATACTCACTGAGGGAAAACCTCACCCTAAGCTTAAAAATCACCTCTATTAAATAAGTTTGGCTACTTTTGTCATAAGGAACCCCTAAGATGACTATAATTAGCAGCATCAGTGTTAGTTTGTTTCTTTTGTAGTCAATTTCCCTTGTGTTTTCCACAATACAGGGGAGAGCAGAAAAACCCACAGAATTCTTTTTGAATGTATAAAAACTGGCAAAGAGACTCCAGGCAGAACAGGTGACAAACCAATAACCACTTAACTTCTTCATTAAAAATGACTACATTCTAAGTTGTCAGTACCCCTTTAAACCAAAGGCTCTCCAGACAGAGTGATTTCAAAAGATACATTCAAGACCTATTGGAAATATCTATTTGTTTGATTCATCAATAAAACCTAGTCTTGCAAAGCAGAAAACTACACAAACAAAAGTGGCAATTTCTAAATGTTTAAAATGAAAGGAAACCAGTCCCACTATACAAAGATAATATACACAAAAAACAGACACACTAGTAAAGTCATAGCTATGTAAATTACATAATCGGAGGGTGGGGGAATGACCACTCATTCTGATCTCCAGGAAGCATGATAAGTTACCTCTAATTAAGCCATTTAATCAGATAACCCTTTTCGAACCTGTAACTTTTTTAAATACCCATCTTTTATAAGGAGCAGATTTTTCTAATGTATCTTTTCCAAAAGATATGTGAAGTGTTTTGTGGACAATATACAGCACAATGAAAATATTTTTGACATTCACTTCCTTAGGTGACCCAAAATGACATTTGTGGTTCCACTACTGAGGCCAAGGCAGGGAAGGAGAGAGACACTTCAGATGAAGAAGCACAGGGAGGGCCCAGATTTGGGACTGTCTGGCAAGGAGACTGGAACGGTGAACGGGAACGGGAGTCTGGCCTGTGATGAGAAGCCTGAGCAGTGAAACTGGGACTGGCTGAGCAGGGATTGGGATAAGTTGAAGGAGACAGGGCAGAGGAGTCATGTTGGGGCACGGAGGGGAAACAGAAGAACTCTCGCCAATGCAGGGCTGGCCTTACCATGAGGTGAACAGAGGGGCTGCATCAGGTGCCAGACTGGGGGTGGGGGGTTGACACTAGGACCCCAGAGAATTGAGACCTTTCAAAGTTTTGGCCCAAGCGAGGGGACATGGGGGCATCATTTGAGCTCCCCACCTCAGGTGCCAAAATGTTGTGGGCCAGCCCTATGTCAACAAGAGCAAAGTCCCCTGCAGAGCCTGGAATAGAATTCAAGAATCTAGAGTCTCACTGCTCCTCTGCTATTAGCACAGTGGATTTGACAGACATGTCAAAGTTTTCCATAATCCTCTACTGCTGGTCCACATAGCAGTAACATGTTCTTCGCCTCCACCATTAGTTCAAGTGGCAGAAGTTTGCATGGGGGGAAAACTATTGGTTCCAATAATATGGGTGTCAATATGATGCCACACAATAGAACTTGTTTTAAAAAGCAATTTGGAAAAAAAACCCAGGAAGTTACAAATCACAATTTAAAAGTCCTCCATTAAAACGACATTAAAATTGCAAACTTAAGCGCTCAAAAGTTAACATGGGCCCAAATTAAGATTGTCGGCACCCCCAGCCTTGCATTACGATACAGTCTTTAACGCAGGATGGGGGTCTATGCAAAGAATGGTATGTGATCCTATAATTAGGGACGTTAAAATGCATGCATTTGTGTAAACGTGTAACCCCTGAATTTTTCAGCAGTTACAACATTTACACATGTGAGGGTGGGAGCCAATTCTCACAGGGAGCCAGTTTAAAAGTTGGCTCCCTGCGAGCACAATCTCTGTCCCCCCACCACTGGGGACCAAATACTGTCTAGACCACCCTGATAGACATTTATCTAACCTACTCTTAAATATCTCCAGAGATGGGGATTCCACAACCTCCCTGGGCAATGAATTCCAGTGTGTGACTACCCTGACAGTTAGGAACTTTTTCCTAATGTCCAACCTAAACCTCCCTTGCTGCAGTTTAAGCCCATTGCTTCTTGTTCTATCCTCAGAGGCCAAAATGAACACGTTTTCTCCCTCCTCCTTAGGACATCCTTTTAGATACCTGAAAAAGCAGTAGCACAGGGGCAGGTGGCTCTGCATGATGCAGGTGGCTTGTGGGGAACCCCCCACTGCTGCCTTTGTGGAAGGGAGCAGCATGGGAGGTCGGGGGGGAAAGACAGGCGGCTTGTCTGGAGCCGGTATGCGCAGGAAGCTGGCTTAAAATTCCCCCCTCCCCCACGATGCTGCCTCTGTATTGGAGGCAGCAGTGGGAGAGGGAGGAGGAGATGCATGTAACGGAGAGGTTCATCTGTTAACCGTGTACTTGGATACACGTTCACATCCCTATCTTGAATAGTGTTTATGTAGTGAGTAGGTAATCAATATTTTGTTTCCTCATTTTTCAACATATGGACCCATGCCTTATTTACTGCACACTATTCAAACTCTGCAGGAACTACTAGATTGGCAGATTCTCGTATCTGCCACTGCAGGGTTTCTTGCTGAGACACAAGCAGAAGGATTATGGATCTGATGCAATCTATCTATTCCCTTGCTCCTAAATACAAATTTAGGCTTCCACTTTGCAAATTTAAATAAGACTTACTATTAAAAAGAGAACTGGGGGGAGGGTGCAAGAAACCCTAATGAACTATATATCATTACCATGGGTTTTTTTTAAGTGGGATATTAGAATTAGTCCTTTGAAAACAACTTTCAGGAAACAAACAAAAACAAATAAACTTTTTTTACTGACGTTGCAATGACTGTTACCACAGAGGCGCATGAATCCAGATACTCAGATAGGCGTCTCATTCAGCTATGTTCTTATTTGGAAAGATCACCGTTCTAAAAAGAGCAAAAGTGCCAGAATATAAGAATATAATAAGACTAACCTCACCAATGTTGAGAAATATCAGTTTCCACTGTTTGTCTCAAAGGTGATCTCAAATTTCAGCCCAGAGATAACTGGGGACAGTATGAGAACAGGACACCAGCATGGTCCTGATTTGCTAACATACCGCTGTAGTCTCTATGCTCTCTTTCTCTCAACACGCTAGGTTTTAACTTTCTCCTTCACTGGCTGCTAAAAACAGTGGCCAGGCACTGACGCTAAGTTGTTTCCCAGTCATCTATTACACTTCCCTATCATTCCATGTCCTCCAGCACCCAATATCATTCATGTCTACACAATTCTATGTGATTAGCATAATACACTGTATTTTACCCAGTATCCATAATGTTAAGGTCCAAAATCATAGCTATACCATCCAGTTTTCCAACCAGTCCTGTTTATACTATGTCACCGTGTAGCAATTCTCAAAAAAAAAAAAAATCAACTTCTCATGTCTGATTTTGAGTCAAACAACTAAATGTATTTAAATCCTCCAGCACTGAACATGAGCATAAAATAGAATTGGTAACTTGGACAAAAGCCTCTTTTGCTCTTAGGTCACTTGTTCAAAATGATAGACTTTTGGGCACTATCAGTCATTTCAGTGTTAATAGGATGAGTTAGTAATCAGTACAATTCCCAAGGAGTTTGGGGTAGTAGGACCATCTATCCACAAAACATTGGGAGAAAAAAAAAAAATGTTCTTGGTGAAAGAGCGAAAGGACTGAGAAATCAATTTTATGCAGAATTTAGGCTCTTCCTTCAATGATAATTTTAAGCCAAGATTTAAGTGACAGATGACTTTGAATGACTAACTTGATACACCTTAAAGTCCTTGACTTTCAAAAAGTGCTACACACCAATCCTCAAATTTAGGCACCCGAAAATCATGAATCATAAGTCTCGACTTCCTCCTTAACTGCAAAAAAATCTTTAAAACGAAAGTAAATCAAGACAGCGAAGTGAACATCTGCAGACAACTATGGTGCTTTTGGCACTGCTCACAAGTTCCCACTTACTAAAATTAACAAGCCACTGGTAGCTTCTGTGGTTGGTATTCAACTATTTAAAGCTGCAGTGAAACTGTCAAGAATCATGCCAATTTCATTCTGTTTATACTTGAAAAAAGTATGTGCAGCAATAGAACAATTAGGTCCATATACCAGGTAAGAGAGGTTAAGAGAAGCTGGAAAGAAGGAAGAATAGTAGCGAGCCAACCCTTTCACAGTTGCTAGCAGATTTTTCCCTTCTCTTCTCCAAATGAAGGAAATTCTGGGTTGAAGGGAGTATAATGGGAGAAAAGAGCTTGAAGATCCTTTTCCTTTCCAGTATCCAATGGGGATGTTACATTTACATTAAGCAACTAATCAAACAATCGATGGAATTTCCATTGACTACTCGATTAGTTGATAAGGGAGCCTCTGCCTTTGAAACGTAGCAAGAGACCCACCAGCTCTTGCTACATTTCAAAGGTGGAAGCACCACAGGGAGCACGGGGCGAGCGGGGGACAAGTAATCCCTCACTGTCCTTGTGCTCTCTGCTTTTGAAATGTACATAAGCCCTGTGGGGCTCTTGTCTATTTCAAAAGCAAAGCATGTGACGAGCACAGGGTGAGCAGGGGAGTTAAGAAGTCCCCCGCTTGCCCTGTGCTCCTCATGGCACTTCTGCTTTTGAAATGCCCTGCTCTTGCTATCTTTCAAAGGTGAAAGCGCCGCCAGTTCGCTCCTGCATCTCCCCCACCTCCCCATGGAGACAGTGCTGGGGGGGGGAACTGGCTTTTAAGTTAGAGGCATGGGGGGGGAAGTGGAAACTAGCTGAATCACTAGTTGATTAGTCACTTACATCCCTAGTATCAAAAGGTAGAGGGAGGAAGGAAAGAATTAAAATGATCATACACCAGTGGTTCCCAACCTGTGTTCCGTGGAAAGCTTTAAAATAAGGATCGGGCCCACTGTGTTGGGCCCTATCCTTACTTTTCTTTTCCTTTCCTTTCCTTTTCCTCCCACAGGGAGGAGGGCCTGTGAAATGTTGTCAATGAGCCCAATCCTTACTTTTCTTTTCCTTTCCTTTTCTTTTCCTCCCACAGGGAGGAAGGCCTGTGAAATGTTGTTAGATTGAAACGGGGTCCATATACTCAAAAAGGTTGGAACCACTGTCATGCACTAATCAGCCACTGAATGGAGCAGATGTATTCCCTGAGCAAGGTCCTTAGATAGCAGCCGGGTACGAATCTCAGCTGTGGATGATGAGATATTAACCAAAGAGCAGTTTTTCCCACTTGGGCTGTGGGGATGGAAGCCTCAGACATCTTACGTATCAGCTTCTCTGAACAGCAGGTGTCTCGTATTTTTCAAATAGTTGGTGTCTGCAAAGGCTTGAAAAATATATCAGACCAACTTCATGTCTTTTCAGAGTCTCCTCTCATTTCGCTGGCTGCCGCAATAGGGGGTAAGGCCTGAATCATCCTCTCGTCCTAACTCCTTCCATATGCCAGGAAAGTGCAGTGCATTAACCCACAATTAGAAAAAATGCTAACTAATGTAATGGCTTTAAATATTATTTTGTCCTTAGAGTGGACAAAGATAGCTGTGTTATTAAAAGCCAGTGTGAGTTGATCATGGTTAATCCCAAGGCAACAACCACATGTAAGGTAGTGTTATGTGGTCACACATTCCCTACCCCACTCCCACTCTAGACAATACCCTGAGAGGATTGGGATGAAGTCCATGAATGAGGCAAATTGGAAGCTGTTCTGCAGCAAGAGGGAGTATTTCACTTCTCAGCACCACTAATCCAGCACTCCCTTGTTTCTGCCTTCAAACACTACATTTATTTCATAACAAAAAGAAAAGATTGCCTTAAACTCATTTTCCACCCATTGGAAATAAACTCTGCATTTTAGCTAAAAAAGTCTATGCCAAATTTCAGGCACCTATCATTTAACATACACAAGTTCAACAAATCCACTAAATACAGACTACAGAATAGATATTGAATTTAGCTCAGCTTTAGCTACACTAATGACTGCTACTAAAATAGCAGACTAAGCAGCTCATAGCTCAGCATCAAAGCTATTTGGTCAAGCTGTCCGTTGAGGGGAGAGAGTACAAAAGCTACATTACAAAATGCAAAGGACAGCAGGTGGGAAATCAGAAAGTTATGATTGCATGTGCAACTTTAACTCAGCCCCTTGCAAGCAAGCAAGCATTACAATAGCCTTTTTCTGCTGCTATCACATGCTATTTTTAATGTCCCAGATCCCTGCCTCGTTCAGGGCACAAGATGGATGGTGCTCAGTGAATCAAACAGCTGTTTGGTATTTCTCTTCATATTTATTGTTTAGCATATGGCTCCTACTTCATTCACCACACACATCCAAACCCTGCACCGAATAACGATTTCTCATTTAATAAATCTTTACAGAGTGATCATCAACATATTAGCCGAGTGACTCACACACATTAATAAATTTGTCCTTACAACATCTCTATTACGCACACAGGGAACTGAAGCACAGAGAAATTGACTGGTGCAAGATCACACAAGGAGACTGTGCCAGTGAGAGGAACAGAACTCAGACCTCCTAGGTTTCTCTCACCACAAGTCCATTCATCCTCTTACAGTAAGCTCCTGCCACATTCACTGCACAACATACAGCTTCCACTGTGATTAAGACAATAATGCTCTGGACCTCAACCAATTCACCACACAACGCTCCTCAGGTGCAAACAGAAAGTGACAGCGTGGAAGGAGGTGAAATGGGTATTGTCAAGGGCACAAGGGGGCAAAGAAAGGTAGCAAAAGCAATCTTCACTTTGGGACTCTAGTAGTTTTAGAATTAAACAAATGCTAAACAATACCCTGAGCTTTTTTGTATTCTAGTAGTTCAGGCCCAGGCAAAATACGGCCCACGGGATGCATCTGGCCTGCCAAGCTACCGGATCCGGCCCGCGGACACTGAGGAGATCCCCAGGCAGGCTCCCTGTTTGCCTCGCCCCACCCGCACGCCACTCAAACGCGGCTGCAGGGCAGTTTCACTTTAAAAATTGAGCCCAGCAGGGAGAGGGGGGAAGCTTTAGGAGCTGCTCCCACCCCACGCACAATCCCATTGGCCGCCTTCTGACCAGAAGCTGGCCAATGGGAGCTACCTGTTTCAACACAGGCATCCAGGAAGCACAAGGGGCTTGTAGTTATTCACAGAGCACATGGCTGCAGCCTGCACAGAGGCAGGGAGGTAGATTCAGGAACAAACTGCTGGCTGGTAAGTCTCCTGGCCAATCCCTCCCTTCCCCAAACCTCTGCCCCCAACTCCTGTCCCTCTACTCCACATACCCAAATCCTCTGCCCCCCTCCTTCACCCATACCTCCTCCCAGATCCAGCTCACTAAGCCCCCACCCCAGATCACAGTCCTCTCCTGCCCTAGCTCACAACCCAAACCCCCACATCCCCTCCTATATCCCAATTCCCTGCCCTAGGTCACAATCCAACCCCCTGCACACCAGTCCACCCAGACTCCCACACCTCCTCCATTAATATCCTCATCCCAGGAGGCATACCTGGGTTGTCGACAGCTCCCTTTGATGTCGGCAGGGGAGCGTCCAGACTATCGCGCTGAGCCGACAAACAGCTGATCAGCTGTTTGTCGGCTCAAAGCGGCAGCCATGTAAATTTAAATGAAGCGGCGATTATTTAAATCGCCGCTTCATTTTACTCTGTCGGGTAGCCTAATCTACATGCCTCTGGCGACAGAGGCATGTAGTCTAGACGTACCCTAAGACACAGCACTGCCTATTCAATTTTCCTAAGCTACACGTGCATATGCTAAACAATAGAAAGTTAACCTGCTACTAAGATTACAAAAGCCAGTGTGCATGTACAAAGTACATCCTCATAAAGTTTTAATAAATGACTAGTTTTAACCAGAGCACCAGCAGTCCTCAGATCAGATATGCCTAACTCTGCCAAATTTCAGCTTTTCCCCATCTATTACCAATGTGTTTGAACTGTTCAAAATAAAATATTTTTGCTTTCACTCATTTTCCATAAACCTCTGAACTGACTCAAATGTTCAGAAAA